TGAGCCCTGTTTTACATAAATGTACCTGTTATCTGATTGTTTTTGCTTCTGTAACTGTAAGGGAAGTAGGGCTGCACGATATATCGTGTCGTGAGGATAATCACGTTATGCGCATGCAGGACGATTTTTATTTAATTTAATTTATTTTTTAGGACGTGCGATAATAAGTCTGCAAATTAACTCAAACACGTCATATTACAATTATTTTGCTGCTTGTTACAAAAGGAAAACTCGCGCGGCTCTCATGTCAGGGGTACTTGAGTGAGTGACATGCAGGCTCTGCATGCACAGCAAACCACCAATCACAATCATTCTTGATCAGATCACAGCGGGATAACCGAGCTAGCTCAGCTTGTTGCTCTGATAACTTAAGATCCAGAAGTCTGACTAAAATCCTTCATCCGGTTAAATATCGTTAAAAAAAGACCAATTGTATAGCATGAAAGTTCAAGAAAGGATAGCTTGCGGACAAAAAAAACCTGTCTTTTCTTCAATTCCTGTATTTTTTCATATCGCAATATATATCGCAGAGGAAAAAAATATTGCAATGTCAGTTTTTTCCAATATCGTGCAGCCCTAAAGGGAATACATTTGCCTATTTTGTATCCTGATGACCTAATGCCGTTACATGTAATACGTTACTCTCTAAGCCTGATTTCACCCACCTGCAACCGATTCGCTAATAATCACAAATGTTCATTTCTTTGACCCCTTGACTCGACTATTTCTTGTTTAATAATCGTTACATGTCCTCAGGACCAAGTTCCCGTTTCCTGCCTTTCACCTGCTGATCACCCACTGCTCATTTAAGGTGGACTGACCTTTACAATGGACCAGCTAGTCTTATGGCGCATTTCCACCACACGGTCGGCCTCGGCCTCGCTCGGTACTGCTAGGCCGCGTTGGGCCTTGTTAGGGCCGGCTCACTTCATGCTGCGCTTCCATTACAGTTTAGGAACTGGGGTAGTTACTATAGTAACGCAGTGTAGGCGGAGCCGTGACGTCATCTTCAATGAGAACCCCAGAAAAACAACACAGCCGTTAGCTGTTAGCACTCAAGCTCACAGCTCCTCATATCTGTTCAGAAACTAGACAAAAGTTAAACAAGTACAAACCACAGACTGTCTGTGTCATGGCGAATACAGTCGCTGGTTTATTTATGTCTGTATAGGCCGTTGTTGTGAGTGTGGACGGTCGGAGCATATCTTGCGTTGGCTTAGCCAATCTCCATCTAGAAAACACACATTTTAAAAGGTTTTTCGCCTGCCGTCTGTCTGCAGACTTGTCAAAGCATTAATTCATGGTTTTTACTAACCGGTATCAGTATGTTGTTACTTCGGCATCATTTTGAAACGTGTATTACAATTAAATCACGGTCAAATATGTTCATCTTGTTGTAGCCCCCTTGCCAGCGATTCTCTCTCTAGTTTAGCAAACTCAGCCCGACTCAGCCCTGTTTGTTGGCCCCGATAGAACCACGATTTTGTCGGGCCAGAAAAGAGGTGAAAAAGTAGCCCCGGGCCGGAACTAGGCCAAGTGGAAGCGCAACCAAAAACGGGCCCGGCACGACAGGGCAAGCTTAAACCGCGCTCCGCGCCATGGTGGAAATGCATTAGTGTCTTAATGCAAACGTTTTGTAAAGTGATGCTAGACCAAAAACGTGCCGTTGGGTTGTGTGCTCTCTGCAGGACAGTGTCTGTACTCAAAGATTGTTTATGAAATGAAAGCTTTACTAAACAACTTCAACAGAACGATACGTCTTCTTTCCAGCAGATGGCATACATGTTACATCATCCAGTTCAACTGTCATCCACATATTAATAATTCAAAACAGAAATGTGTAAGATATGGCTAGTAATTGACTATTTCAACTAGGGCTGTCAAGTTAACACGTTAATAACCCCACAAATGATTTTAACGTGCAATTAACGCATGTATATTTGTCCTCGGCCCGCCCCGTAGTTTCAGAGCCCAAAGGCTTGACGTTGTTGTTGTTAGTTGGATGGTGGGAGATTCTAGCGAGAGATATGGATAAAAAAAAGGTGTTTTAAACAGCAAGCCAAGCCCACAGCTGATGCTGACAGCCAGGCGCACCGGATTCATTTTAGAAGTGGGGGGGGGGCAAAAAAGTGCGTGTGCATGGCCCAATCCCAAACCACGCCCTACACACTCCCCCTCCGTGACGGAGTGAACTCTGTGGAGTGACACATGAGGCTCCCTCCTGTCAGATGGAGGGAGTAAATACAGCGGCAAGCTTTGGGACAAACTCCCATCTCTCCTGCAGAAACAGGAAATGCCGTAACTGTATGTAACAACGGTTTCAAATCAGCATCTCTTTGACAAAAAATGTAAATTTATAACTCAAATAAAACTCCAAACATCTTTAATTGTGTTACTTTTTTGTAAAGCTCTTTTAGTTTTAAACCTCATGTTTATAAGCTTCTTAGTTGTTGCAACAGTCTGTAAATATACACAACTTTATAATAAAATGCACACATTTACCTTTTTCTAGACTAAACACAGGTAGCCTATGATCCTAAGTTAAAAACATATGAGGTTATCATGAGGTTGTTAACATCGCAGTTTATCAGTGGGTTATTGATTCTGCGTCAGTCTTAGGACAGTCATACATTCCTATGAAGTCTTCATGGACAACATAATCAGCTGATACCCATCGTACAGTCAGAGACAACTGTTCATGGAGGCTTTGGGCACATTTTCCAGTTATTAACTCCGGTATTAACAAAGCTATCATCTTCACATTTTGAGAAAGTTACAAGCCGTTTGACAGCAGCAAATCTGCATATTTCACAAAAGGCCCGTTTAGTGGTTTTGCAAATAATTAACCACTCTCTGTTTTTGTACCATTCTGCGTTGAAGTACCTTTCTCTTTGCCCAGACGATCTAGCGGTCTCCTTTTTTTCGACAGTTAGCTGTACAGCTTTACCCGCCTCAATGTCCCGACAACAAACCTCCAAGCAGTCGGAACCAGCCTGTTTCGGTTCAACGGCGGCGGTGGGGGTGGCTTTGACAGTCTCTGCGGCCGCAGAGCTGCTGCTTTTGGGTTTATCTGGCTTCGCTGGTTCTTCTATGATTGATGAAGGTCCAGGCTCCGGAGAAGTGGATGTCAGGGATGTGACCTTCCAGTTGTTAAATGTAAGTTTAGAATGACTGTATTTAGTTTTCTTCTGCGCTGGTTCTTCTGACTTGTTTGCAAGTGTATCTATTCTTTCTATCTGGTTAACGGCTGAAACACACAGAACAACGTAACAAATAAACTAAACAACGTAACAAATAAACAAATCTAAGCTTTTTTATTGGTTGTAATTTACATGGATACATTTGAATGGTGTGACAATGTCCTATTTGATTGGGTTAAAATGTACATATTCTTCCTGTTATGTCTGCCTGCTTTATTTTACCTAATGCAAAGTGACCTGCTCCATCGAAAACACATTTTGAATTGTATACACTGTTGGAAAGAAGAGATTCATAGCTTTCTAATGATATCAGGATTGTTTTTGTACTCCAAATATTAAGCAAAATATGTCACATTATATAATGACTGTCACCGAGTCATCATTTTGAGAAAAAGGCCTTTAAAGTTTCCTCTTCTCTGGAAGCGGAGCAAATGATCAAAGTAGTAACGGAGGGAAGATATTTTCGTTTGGATTACTGGTCTGGGGGAAGCCCACGAGTGTGTGTGTTTGTGTATTTTTGCGTTTGTGTGTGTATTGTGTTTGTTTCCCGGGGAAAACACTCACGAGAAACACCGGCTGTTGTTATGCCTGCTGTGACGTTACGTTACTCCGGTCTCCGCTTGTAATTATGCCGTTACAAGCTTTCAAAGTTGTATTTATCATCTGAATTTGCCGAAACAAGTTTAATATTCTGAAAGCCAAGACTTTGTTTATTTGAAATCAGATACAAACAAACTGTAACGGGCCCTGCCGTGTTATATGATTACTATACGCCTTACATTCATAATTTCAGCAGAGGGAGGGGAAGCGGCGCTGTGGAACAGCAGAGTGGCGAGTGAGAGCTGTCATCTTCCCTTTACAAGCTTCAAAAATGCCTGTAGCTAATGAGATTGAATATAACAAAAAATACACAGCTAGATCAGATCGCGTTTTAGATGCAACTTTAGAGTAGAGGGGAATTATTGAAACGGGATTTGTACAGTGTTCCGCGGCATTCCGCGCCCTTGCTGACAGCCCCGCTCCTGCCGCTTGCTTGCGGCAGACCACGCTTGAAAGTTTGTCGGGGAGACGCATGGACACTTCTACGAGCAGCAAGCTTTTAACAGCGATAGCTAAATAGGTGGCTACAGCTTAACATTGTGGAGGACGAGGGGCTGCGTTAGATAATTCGGATCGCATCCAACGTGTCGACTGCACATCACAGCGCATTATTTTGACCCACAGTACGAAAGTCTCATGCTTTAGCTGAAGATGAAGACAGAGGAGCGGCATTTCACCGACAACTGTAAACAGGCTTGTCTGTTTGAGCAACTGGCAGAGTGCAGAGAAGTAGACAGGGTTGAGAGAGAGTGTAAGAGAGAGAGGTTCCAGGTGGTTGTATTGAAAATATTCAGGAGAACATTTGTCATTGTTCAGAGGTTGTTGTGTTGAGAATATTCAGGAGAATATTTGTCATTGTTCCAATGATAATAAACAAACATTTGCATAAAGCATATTTGTCCACTCATATGTTGATAAGAGTATTAAAAACTTGAAGGTACATTTAGAACAGATACAAAATGTGCGATTAATCGCGATTAAATATTTTAATCTACTGACAGCCCTAATTTCAACCAAATGTGAAGAGGTTACAGTTTTCAGGCCATGTCCAATATGTTTATGTTTTGTTTGATTAAATCTACTGAAATTGGCATTCAATACAAATGTATTGCACAATAGCTGTGCTTTATTTTAACTGAGCTATGCCTGTGGCAAGCTATTAACAGGCATTACACTGTGCCTTGTCTTTTGCTTTTTTAGTGTAGTGGAGCCTCACTTAGAGCGTTTACCGCGATCCATCTTTGGTGTTATGAAGTGACTGAGCACGTGAACTGTCTACGGGAGGGCGGGGGGAGCCTCGCTGCGGGGCAACTGTGGACCTCTGTCGCCTGTCAGCGCAACTTACATGATGCCGTTTAAAAAAATGAAGGGCGGACCGGCCGTTCTGTGATTCTCCAGAACATACTGATGGCCAGTCCGCTGCTGAATTCCACCGGGTCGCCGCGGCGCAGACGGACCCGGTGGAATACAGGGTCTACCGCGTTTAGGAACCGTTAAGCAGAATCAAAATTGTGTATTTTGTATGGTTACCCGGTACCCGGCATTTTCTTATCGGTTCTCATCTGGAACCGAGTTTCGGTTCCCAACCCTAATCGCTACTTTGTTCAAGTAGTTCTCCGTTACCTATTTGCTTTTTCCTGCGTACCGGACCCTATCCTGCTAGCCCGTTTGCTACCAGCCTCCAGCCGTTGGCCGTCAACAATCTCGCCAACTCCCTGCCGTCAGCTGGCCACTAACATTGGACACCCTCGTCTCTGCACAACACAGCTACGGTGGGAAAAAATGTTTTTTTCACGAACAGTTTCTTAGCTGTCTCCCTACTGGCTGACACCATCCCTGACTCCACCGTCACCCAGAATGTTTCCCCTACTGACCTGGTCAACACCTACAACAATGCTCTCTCCTCCTGTCTCAACCAACTCGCTCCAATAAAAACAAGTATGTCTCTTTCACTCACTCGGCCCCCTGGTACACCGATCATCTCCGTTGCCTCAAAAAGAAAGGTCGCCAGCTCGAAAGACATGCTAAACGAACTGGTCTCACTATCCACAAAGACATTTATAGACTGCACCAACAGCAGTACAAAGATGCCCTCAACAGTGCACGCTCCTTCCACTACTCCTCTGTAATACAATCTGGCAACCCAAAGTCCCTTTTTTCAACTATTAACAAGCTCCTCAACCCCATGGATAATATCTCCAACTCCTTCACCACCTCAAAGTGTGAATCCTTCTTCTCATTCCTCCAAAGCAAAATTGAAATAATACACAGCAACACAGCCAACTCCTCCGTCTCGTCCACCACCCATGCTTTCCCGGAACCTGCCTACCCTACTCCTTCCAGGCACCCTTTTACAGCCTTCAGACAAATTACCTCACTGGACATAGTTGCCCAAGTCACCGGCATGAATACCTCAACTTCCATCCTGGACCCCATGCCCTCCACCCTTGTCAAGGCCTGCCTCCCCCAACTCACTCATCTTATCACCACAGTCATTAACTCCTCTCTGTCCACTGGACTTGTCCCCCTTGCTCTGAAACTCGCTGCTGTCACTCCCATACTCAAAAAACCTGGTCTCAACCCTGATTCTCTCAATAACTACCGGCCCATTTCTAACCTCCCATTCCTGTCAACAATTCTGGAGCAAACTGTTGCCTCCCAACTAAAATCCCATCTGGACTGCAATAACCTTCATGAACCTTTTCAATCTGGTTTCTGTACTCGCCACAGCACAGAATCTGCCCTACTCAAGGTGACCAACGACATTCTCCTCTCTGCTGACTCTGGTTCCCGCTCAATTCTCATTCTCCTTGACCTAACAGCCGCATTTGACACGATCAGCCATTCCATCCTCATCAACCGCCTCCAGTCTTCCATTGGCATTACCGGTACTGCCCTCTCTTGGTTTAAATCCTATCTCTCTGACAGACATCAATTCATCTCTATTAACAACTCCAAATCCCCCACAGCCCCCGTCAATCATGGCGTCCCTCAGGGTTCTGTACTTGGTCCCCTTCTGTTCATCATCTACATCCTCCCAATTGGACAAATCCTCCGTCAACATCAACTCCAGTTCCACTGTTATGCTGATGACACACAGCTCTACCTCTCAACAAAATCAATTTCTCCAACCACACACTCCCAGCTCAGCACCTGCCTCACTGACATTAAAATTTGGATCCAAAACAATTTTCTAAAACTTAACTGTGACAAATCGGAACTTATAATCATTGGCCCAAACTCACTTACCCGCTCAACCCAAGATTTTTATCTTACCATCGATGGCTCCATTGTCAACCCCTCCACTCACATCCGTACCCTCGACCCCACCCTCACTTTCCAACCAGGTCACAAAAAACGCTTTCTTCCATTTAAAGAACATCGCCCGCATCAGACCCATCCATGCCTTTATAACATCCCGACTGGATTACTGCAACAGCATACTTTTTGGATCACCTGCATTCATACTAAAAAAACTTCAATATGTCCAAAACTCAGCTGCCCGCTTGCTCACCTCCACCCGACGCTCCGACCACATCACCCCTATCCTCCCTGACCTCCACTGGCTCCCCATCAAACACCGCATTGACTTTAAAAGATAACTTTTCACTTTCAAAGCCCTCAACAACCTTGCCCCCCCCCTACCTCTGTGACCTCATCCAACGACACACCCCCACCCGTCGCCTCAGGTCTGCTGAAGCTAACCTACTGCAGCCCATCAGGACAAAGCTCCGGACCTGGGGTGACAGGGCCTTCGCTGCAGACCCCCCCCCCCCCCCACTCTGGAACCCCCTCCCCAGCCACGTCAGATCTGCCAACACTCTCACATCATTCAAACAATCCCTCAAAACTCACCTTTTCACTCTTGCCTTCAACTCCTATCAACTAACCCCTTGCCCTTATTCCACCTACCTTAGCACTTTCTACTTTTGTTGTTATTTTGTTTTACTTGCTTGTAAGCGCTTTGAGCACCAGGAAAAGCGCTTTATAAATGTAATGTATTATTAGGGTCTGAGACCTAGGTCGGCGAAGACCCTATTGAACCCCTTTGACCACCGCAACATATGTGAAAACTCACCAAATGTTGCACGCGCGTCAGAAGTGGTGCAACTTGCGATATGTAATTGGTTCCGGAACCTTGCGTAAAAAATTGCGTAGGCCACGCCCACTTCCGTTTTTAACGTAAACTCCCCCCACTTTAACTTTCACGTAAACGAACGAAACTCGCGACGCATATCTAGGGTGCGGAGACAAACAAAAAAGCCTCTTGGAGGGGTATAAAAAATAACGTACAGGAAGTCGGACATTTTGAATTTGGCGTCGGAAAAACGCGATTTATCGTCCTCCGCACAAAATCTATCTTCTCCCAGGGACTTTATCCGTACGACTCGAAATTCGTCGGGTAGCGTCTCGAGACATGGGCAATTCAAAGTTATCACAGAAGTTTTTTTCTTTCGCACGGCGTAGCCGTGATTTGGCGCCAAAGTTCGCGTTCGCTTGATGCTAGGCGATCCCTCGCCATGGAACACGATGATGTCATAACACCAACTGACATACTCAGAACGCCACCAAACTTCACATGATGGTTAACACTGCGGCCCTGAACAGCTCTACGTCAAATTTGATGTTACTTAATATGGCGTTACCATGGCAACGCATCCCTCGCCATAAAACACGGTGTCGCTGTAACTCCAATGAACACGGTCCCATCGTCCCCCAATCTTCACTTTTATATCACCGGTCCATGCCTCAACAGCTCTACGTGAAATCTGAGATCTCACCGTATGTCGTTTCCATGGCAACGCATCCCTCGCCATAAAACACAATGTTGTCTTAAGTCAATGGAAAATGATCCAAACTGCACCAGACTTCATATGATGGCTAATGGTCCGGCCCTCAACAGCTCTACACCAATTATGGGATGTCATCATATGCCGTAGCCATGGCGACAGATCCCTCGCCATGAAACACTGTGTTGTCCTAACTCACTGGAAAAACGTCCAAACGGCACCAGACATCAGATGATGGCTAATGGTCCGGCCCTCAACAGCTCTACGCCAATTATGGGATGTCATCATATGCCGTTTCCATGGCAACGCATCCCTCGCCAAAAAACACAATGTTGTCTTAAGTCAATGGAAAATGATCCAAACTGCACCAGACTTCAGATGATGGCTACTAGTCCGGCCCTCAACACCTCAATATAACAATAGTGAGTTTTCCTCTAAAGCTGTTGCCATGGCAACGCATCCCTCGCCGTTAAGCACGATATTGCTATAACTCCTGTGTAAATGGTAAAAAAGTGTTCAAACTTTACATGTGTGCTAACGGTACAGCCCTAAACACATATATGTGTCAGTTTTGAGATTTCGTCAAATGCCATTGCCATGGTAACAAAATGGTGGCTGTGAAACATGGTTTTCTCATAACTCCAGTTAACATGCTCCAAACGGCCCAGAACTTCACAGGTTTGATAACGATGCAGCCCTCAACACATCTAGGCGTATAATGGGGTGTCATCAAATGCCGTTGCCATGGCGACAGATCACTCGCCATCAAACACAATGTTCATGATACTGCTGTAAATCCCATGTACGTTGTCCGATCGGCCTGAAACTTCCCACGTTTGCCAACGGCCGAGTCCTCGAGACACCTAGACACACACCTCGACGTGCGGACAACAGCCTGCGGAGCGTCGAAGACCCGCTCAACGCTGCTTGCAGCTTTAATTATTATTATTATTTAGACGCTTCTTGTGAGACTTGTGTTTTGTTTCGGTAAAAATGGTTAGCTGAGTTTCTTCCCGTTAGGTGGGTATGACACATTCATAGGTTTTTAAATGTTAAGAAGCCCTGAGACACAGTTTCGCGGGCGGGGGCTCTCGGGCTTAACAGGTTAACAGGTTAAGGAAATCACATTCCTTACAAAGTACTTCATATTCTACCAGATGTAAAGTTTTGTTGTCAAAAATTTGTTTTTTAAAGGGCCCATGTCATGGCCATTTCCACTGATCATAATTACATTGTTGAGGTATACTAAAATAGATTTATACTGTGCAATTTTCCAAACTCACATTGGTTTCGCATACAGCATCTCTGTCAAGCATGTGTATTCAGCAGTATTCACTTTCTCCACTAAACGACTCGTTGGAGCTCTTGCCCCCCCCTCCCTGTGAACCTAGTGTGCTCCGATTGGTCAGCTCGGCCACTCTGTTCTGATTAGTCAAC